TTTTTTTTTTTTTTTTTTATAACATTTGTTTATTAAAATAACTTTATAAAATTTACATCTATACAAAATATATGCACAACCGTAAATGGGTTAACAGTAGTGAAAATATTACTATATGACTTGAATAGTATGCAGTAGTGTGGCACCCAATGGAGTTACCTACTTTAAATTTTGTTTTTTGTTTTAATTTTTTTTTTATAGGAGGTCTCTACACCATTTTCTTTTTAATATTCTTGGCGGATTGTCGGGGATGTGCTTTGAATAGAGGTATTGAATATTAGGGTTTGGGTGAGAGTTAAATTGTTATGAAGTTATAAACACATTATAATAATATTAATTAGACTGCGAATAAATTTTAATTTACAGTATTAGTTTTTCCTATGTGTGTATCATTCTCACAGCACTATCTGATATTTACTAAAAGTAAATAAGCCATTATTTTATTGCATAAAATTCCAATTATTTTGATTAAATAAAGAAAATCCATTCAGGTATTATACCTAAAATTAAAATTAAAATTAACATTAAAACTTAATACATTTTTAAAATTTTGTTTTTATACATTCATTTTATTTTTTAGTTGTCATTTTTGCAAGATAATGTAGGTAAAGGAACTCTTAATGAAGTGATTTACAAATACAAAAACGATTTTGTTCAAGAAGTCTACGAATTTAATAAAATAAAATTTAAAGTCATTCACGGAGACTTAATAATTCAGATTGATGACATTATCGCAGTTTTTTCCTTAGTAACTTTTTTTTTGAGTATATGTAATAGATTTTTGCAATGAGTCAGAGGATTTGTTTAGTTTTATTAAAACACTAAACAGTGTGTGACTAATAATGCTTAAACTTCGATACAATTATCATTTTGTTTTATTTGTTAAAGATAATTATTCCTTTTGTAGACTATATTTAAAACAGTTTAAATACAATTTAAATAGTTGCCCAACGGTTTTATTCGATACATTTAATATTTGGCAAGAGTATAAATGACATTTTTATTATCTGTGTTATAAGATAGATTTTAACATTTATTAATTATTCATTTCTTGAAAAAAATAGGAATTTTGCCAATCTAGTCATAAGACAAGAAATATACATTTAGTAAATCATTTAATTTGAATGAAAATTGGGTTATTATTTTTTTAAAATTTTTACTGAGGTGAAGACGTTAATACTTAAATAAGACAGAATAGATGAGTTGAATCTTAGAATAAATTTAAGCTGAATTTTAAAATGTCCTGTAACGTATGTGAATATTTTAAGAAAATATTTATTTCATATACCTATTACATAATATAAAATTCGTAACAAAAAATTATAAATGCAAATAACTGTATAATTTATATGACATTAATTCTTATAAATAAAAATATTTTTGTACTTATTTTTGCAAGAATGATATTATATTATTTTGTTGTTCAGCTTAACATTTGAACTTGTGTTAATAAGATAACTGATTAGTTTTATAGAAGTAGTTTAAGAATAATTCACAAACAAATCATAAATGAAACCTTAATTATAATCTCACCTAGGGGAGGACTCTTAGTGCCACAACTACTAAGATGTGTGCCCCTGTACCTTGCATATCCGATTTTTCACTAGAAATACTAGAGGGATTTATAAATGAAAGAAAAATGTTTTTGTATAATAAAAATTCAATATTAATATTAATTCCTAAATGCATAACAAATTGTATACAGTTTGTTGAAATAATTGAGTCATTAAAAATATTATATTTTGAAGTTATTTAGGACTGTGATTGTGGGGGTTTCCAAAATTTTAGATTTGATTTATTATTTTTGATATTTTATTTGGGGTTTTTATGCAAAAAAATCGTCATTGGTATGTTTTTATTTTTTTAACATAAAATTTTCTTAAAAATCTTGAATTTGATATAAGTATGAAGAACACAAATGTCCCAAAACATTATCAATAGTTAAAAATAATGTAATTTTTGGTAAATTGTAAATTATTTATTATTTTTGATTTTTTTTGTAATAGAATAATTGTTGAAACGTTATTTTTTCAGTATTAAAGAACACATAAAACGTTTTATTTTGATATACATAAAAATTGTCTGACGTTCCAGAAAATTATTCAAAAATTAGTTAAAAAAATTTTCTAAACTATTTCTCTACTTGAATTTTACATTAGATTTTCATAGAAGCATACCAAAGTAAAGCCTTTTTTAGTCGTTAGTAAACTTAAAATAAAAATTTTATTAGGCTTAGTGTTTTTAAAAAAATGTTATTGCAGTTTTATAATACAAAAACCTAGCATAGTGGGGACGTGACATAGTTGGGTCCAGTATAGATTTAATATGACAGTGATTAAAATCACTATCATAAAAATGCTTCTATGCAAATTTGTAGATAGTGTTTAATTTTAAAAAATGTTTGAATTATTCCAAAAGCAACATGATCTCTTATTTCTTTATTTATATCCTGATTGCAAGCTTTATGATTTATAAGTGTAATATATAAATAAATATTTATTATAGCATTATATAATATTTATATAGTATGAAATTGATACTTAATAATTTAGTGTTGTAATTTTTACAGAGAAATTATAAAAAATTATAAAGCAGTTATTACTTTTATGGAAAATGTATGTTATTTACAAATAAATTTACTGGTATACATGGAATTTTCATCTGAGGCCAAAATATAAATTTCTAAACTCATTTTTGCGCCGATTTCTAATCTACAATTAGAGTTTCGCATATGGCTTAAATAATAATAAAATCCTTCTAATTAAAATAACAAATATTTATGTTTGTTTGTTTGGCTACGTATGAATAATCAATAAATATATGTTAATTAAAAATAAGTTGAAAAAGTTCCTACTTCTTTACGCATATTTAAGTTTTTAACCTCCCTTGTATAAATAGAAATGGTCCAATTAAAAAAAAAAAGTATAACGTATAAAATAATTATATAAATAGTATTTATTATAAAAAAATTATAGTGATCCATATACATTTTTCAAAAATTTATCGCATTATAAAATTATTTATTTATTAAGTTTAATGTCCGTGTTTTCACCATAAAAACAAAGTAAAGTCTGAAATTTTTT